GTAGATTAAGACCTTAAGCACCTTCTCTTTGTTTTCTCTGGTCAATGCCCACAATTTTTTTTAATGTAACTGAAAACAGTTTTATGACACTCGCTGGAGTTCATGAGCATGAAACAAGCTGCTCAAGGCCTCAGTCACCCAGGGATACAGACCGATAAGTGACCCAGCTGGCAACCACCAAATGGTAAAGGAAAAAAGTAGCCAGTCGATGTCACTAAGATTCAAACTCGTCTGACGTGTTTACTAGATACACACATGGTATCAATTTGAAAGTCCTTCATTGCCATTTTCTCGAGTTGTCGCGTTCACAATCTTGGGTGTCCCTGTCGCCCATCAGCCTTTTACAGCTGAGGGGTAAAAAGTGTATGAGTGAGTGGTTACAGGAGGCTGATGGCAGCTGCAAATTTCACTGCAGCTTGGAGAGTAAATGGTGAGTTCTTGCAGACAAGTCAATGTCTCCCAAGCTGCAAGTGACTGCAGTCACCAATCACAGGGAGGCACAGCTGGACTGGCCATTGGGCATTTGCCGGGTGGGCCAATGTTTTGTTTTTTTTGTAACAGTATAAACAATGAAAGATGGTGGATTGGCCAGTGTTTCATGATCGACTCTGGGCTGGAGTGGTTACAGCCGAGGTCAGATACACCCTCCCCCTTGCTCTGAAAGCAGTCTTATCACAGACAAACAGAAGAAGATGGTATTGAGGTGGAAAGGAGCGCGATTTGTCTCGTACTTCAGCTAGAATGAAAAAGAAAAAGACACAAATCTGGATTTATTTTATTTATCTCTTTACGCTGCAGCTGCCTCTTCTTCTCTCATCCCCCCCTCCCTCTCCTGTTGCTACTTCAATCATGAAACTGATTGATGATCAGCTGATCGGCTTTTCTCTCGTGTTTATTTATCGCTGACTTTGCGCCAGAAAGAGGAAACCAGCAGATGTCGCACTAAACAACAGCAGCACGTCTCTAGTCAAAATGCCCGGGCCGATTTTTTTGTCCCAGTCGAGGCCTGCAGGGAGGGTTTGGTGCACAGCTGACAACTGGTCAGGCAATTCACATCATTACTCTGTTTCTAAGCCTGCGTGACTGAGGCCTAATCAGTTTGTAACATACAAATGAAGCACTCAAAATAATTAGCAACTTCTACACTACAAATATATACAAGTATTTTTAAAGAAATACCAGGCTCATTCTTAAAGATATTGCTTTTTGTCCAACTAAAATTGGCCAGTGGGTCATTTCAAGTTGACTTCTGAGAAATATATACCGTTAACTGTGCCTGTGTGATGATAACGTATAAAGTATAGAAATGTAAAAGCAGGAGGAAACACCTTAAACAACAACAACATATAATAGGAACATAAAGTCAACCCATTCTGTAGGTGGAAAAGAGCACTGCCAAAATATCATTTTATCTATCATATGCATCATGCTCTTTCAGTAGTGTATTGTCACGTTAAATACAAAGCTTCAAATACTGACGTCAGTGTACCTACAACTAATTCCTGTGAGCCAAAGGTCAGAGGTCAGCTCTGTTGAGGATATCCGTGTGCCACACCCACCGGCCGTTCAAGCCTCCACTTTGCTTGGTGCAGCCAATCATAAGAAAGGTGCCTTAAGCGAGTCCACAAATTAAATTAAAAAAATAAAAATAAATAAAGAGCAGAAAGACATGCGCAGAACATGTTCCCATTAATTCGTCTTTTTGCTTTAAAGTGCAACTTTAGTGCTTTTCCTGTGAAATCCTGTCAAGTAAATGTATTTAAAAACGACACAGGTTGATCAAGGTGCTACACATAGAGCAACAACCAGGTTTTTGTAACGCTACTACGTCCACATTTAATAACTTCAGATAACGTGCAGGAGTGAAGTTACAGGATAGATCATGTGACAGCGTAACCTGAGCACAGGTGCGCTGAATGTTCCGTTATTCGCCCACCATCACTCATACTTCGCTTCCAGCTTCTCTCAAATGCAACAGGCCAACATTTAGACTATTTCACAGTCTGCGCACTAACACCGCATTGGACATTATGCGCTTGTTTTTTGCGCGTTACGAGTGGTTACCTTTATGGCGAGCAGACAGCCTCCTTTCCGTCCTCAGTCGTAAAGCTAATCAGCTAGAAGCCAGCAAAAAGGAGACAAAGGAAGTTAAAATTAAACCCAACTGCAGAACATAACTGAGGGTTTTCTAGAAACCATTTCATAGCCAGACGTATTAGCAGCTCTAAAACCTCTGCGGCTAAACCAGAGTGACGGGAAACTGCCGAGAACAGCGCTGAGCAACCAGGCCGGCTAGTTAGCTAGCAAACAGCTGAGTTCTGTTGTTGTTTTGTTGTTGTGGATCGTCGACGGTGTCGTCATCAGCATGCGTTCGGCTGCACGTTTTGATTCTCAACGCTGCACGGCTGGGCGGGGCTTAATGGAAAAAAGAGAAAAGAAAGAGAACTAGCTTTAAAATGTCGTATCTTCTGAATCATGAAACGTAAACAAAACAGTTACGAAGATATTTTATGAAGCATTTGAGGATCGGAGGCATTGACTTCAGAGAAAAAACGATAACAAGCGCCCCCCGGTGGCTGGAAGTAATAAAATAAAGTACTGACAGGAGCCTGTGCAGTGTGTGTGTGTGTGTGTGTGTGTGTTCCTGTCTAGCTATCTTTGTGAGGACCGAAATCTGCATTCTACTATACTTGTGAGAACCAACAGTCACTGGTCCTCACAAATTTGAAGGCATTTAAAGGCAATTTTGAGGATCAAAATGTGGTTTTAGTGTCAGGGTTACAATTAGGTTATTGTTAGGTTTAGAGTAAGGGTTAGGCATTCACTTTTAATGGTTAGGGTAAGGGGCTAGGGAAAGCATTATGTCAGTGAAGGTCCTCACTAAGATAGCTGAACGGGGTTGTGTGTGTGTGTGTGTGTGTGCGCGCATGTTTAGACATCTTTTTGAGGACAGAAAAATTGGCACT